GCTAGCTCTTTTCTTTTTCTTTTTTTTTCTTTTCTTCTCTTTCTTTTTCATTATTTATTTAAAACATTTTTGCCAACAATACTTATACATATTTATGGGCTTTGAAAGACATGTTGATATCTCTAGCCTTTTTCCCCCTCAAGATTGTTTTTGGCTATTCTGGGTCTCTTTTTGTTCCATTTGAATTTTAGTGTTATGATTCTTCAATTGTTAAAGAATGTTGTTGGTATTTTTGGTATTTTGACAGACATTGTATTGAATCGATGGATTACTTTCAGTAATATGGACATTATAGTAGTATGGACATACTTCACATTAGTGAAGATAGGGAAACAACCCATATTTTCTGGAAAGACGAATAGATAAAGAAACTGGTATATACATACATACATACATACATACATACATACATACATATATTCCATGAAATACTACACAGCCTTTAGAACATGAAATTCTACCATTTGCAACTAAATGGTCTCAACTGGAGACCATTATGCTCAGTGAAGTAAGCCAATCCCAAAGGGACAAATTTCATATATTCTCTCTGGTACAAGGCAACATTCATGCATAATACAAAACAAACAGATATATAGGTGGATGAGTATGTGTGTGTGCATATATATATATAATAAATATAATAGATGAACTGTGTAATGGAGGCTACCATACTGCAAAGTGAAGATATGCTACAGTAGGCCCCTCTACTCCTAAACAAAAGGAGGACTTGCAACGAAACAGATAAATATCTAGACTTTCTACCATTGTCCCTACAATGCCATGGTGCAATAAATTTGGAGAATGTTAAGCTTGAAAATATTACTATAGGGAACATACTGCTGTTAATAATATGGGGGAAATGGTGGGAGGGTCAATGTGGAGAAAATGAAGGAAAAGAGTAGAATCACTATACCTACAAAACTATATCTTAGAAAAAAATATAGAAAGGATACTTTGTGAGAAAATCTGAGGATTAAAAGATAGAATATATTTTTATTAATTTTCCAATTGTAATGGTTATATTGTTGTTACATAGAGTGTTCTGATATTAGGAAATAGCCATGGTAGTAATCATGGTTCACAGTATTAAGTCAGCAATTTATAAAATCAATGTGAATTTTTTTTCAGGTATTTTCAATAGATTTCCTTCAGATCTGAATCAAATGTGTTCCTCAGGGTAAATTCAGGTGCTTGTTTCTTTGTTTTGACTTCTAGGTCCACAGAAATAGTCTCAGAGCTTCAGGATGCAATGTAAAACTTATTTCCATCTTGTGTTTCGTGCATAGGCTATGGTAGGGATTTTGCACTGGAATGTGCAGGTCTGGAGTGTTTAATACATATCAGGTCCTCCCCAGATCCCATAGGAAAAACTCCCATGACTGAACTACAGCTACTGCCTTTCCAGTCTGAGGTTTATAAAACTTGGAGGGTGCCTTATCTACATCCCAAGGTTAAGCACAGGTTCTGCTGGTGATGGTGGGCTCACTGGGATGGTGAAAAGGCCTTCTGTAGTCCTCATGACTAAGTACACATGTGCCAGGGACTTAAAGAACAAACACTTCTAGAACAACAGCTGCAGGACTCAGAGGAGTCCTTACTCAGGTCCTTTGGTATCAACTCAGGTGAAATATGTGGAATGTCTGTTCCAGGAGAGCGAGACCCAGAGGGTAGCTTACTTGCATATTTTGTGATTGTAAACCAGCAGGTGCTGGTGTGAGGCAGATAAATGCAGTTAGAACCTTTCCTAGAATCCAAGCAGAGGAACACACCTGTCCCTGGGGCTTATCAAACCAACAGTCACAGCACAAGATATAGGATACAGTGGATTCCTTACCTAAATTTTGTAGAGTACAGGTTATGCTAGGGATTGAGGGTTGGCTACCACTAGTTTGAGGCAAGGATTGTAGCGGCCTTTCAATTCCCTCTATTAACATTTCTTTTAGGCACTTTATACATCTGGAAAAAATCATGAGCAGCTGTATCCTAGCACTAGCATCCTTTGTGATACTTTTTTAGTATCTATTGCCAAACCCTTAGCACTAAATGTTGGAAGAACAATGCAGTATTAAATGGTGGTTAGTTGGGAGTGGTTTGATGATAAAATTGAAGATAACTTAGTAGAATCAAGGACAAAGGCCTGACCATAGACTAATTTTGGGGTGAAGCTGTATAATTCAAGATTTCTCTGTTTATTCCTCTGAAGATAACCCATTACATTTCTCTGTCAGCATCACTAGTATTTATCTACTGTGTTCTCGTGTCTCTAATTTGCAGCAAACCTTGTTTGTACTTCCTCATTTTGTTTAAAAAAGCTTCTTTCACTGTGCTGTCATGAGATTTTATGTGATTGTTAGAGGAAAGCTTGTTATCAGTAAGGAAGTGCAGAGATGAAAGTGAGTGTTCTCAGGCTGTCTATTTTGAATGCCGTGTTTGTAGGCAGTAGCAGTCATTAGGGGAAACAGTGGCTGCTGCTGGTGAGACAGTCTTGGGGCTTGTTAGAGCACATGCTAAAGGACATGGGGTGAACAGTGGCTATTGAGTTTAATCCCGGCTTGATGCCAGCTCAGTCCCTGAGCAGCTCACTAGAGGAAATGACAGGTATGTTACAGAATGAGGCAAATGTATCACTTGGTTTTAGACAGAGGCATAAACTTCTGGTTACCTCGAGTATGGCTGTATTCTTTCTTATACATTAACACCTGATTTTTTTTCACAAGTTAACCAACCCCTGGGGTGACAGTTCTTGATGAGATTTTAGGGGTCATTCTATTGTCATTAACATGAGTCACGTACAGTGGCATCTGTTGGCTGCATTTGTGATTGGGCCAAGTGGGAGACAATATACCAAACATTTCTCATTTAATTATAAGGGGAAGAGCAGATTATCATTGTGTCACATGCTTTGGTATCATGGCATTTCTAGCATCTGGCACTGCATGTGCCGCAGCTAGACTCCTATGAATATGTGGCAGGAGAAAGATGCCCAAGGCAGATAGAAATTAGAAACAAGATTACAGACAGAGCCAAAAACACAACACACAATTTTTTTTTTGAAATGCTGAAAAATTGAACAGAACCTTAGCTTGGGCATCTGATTCACTATGCATGGTCTTTTCTGATGCTGCTAGATAATGTGGCATTTAACAAGAATAGAGGAGGAATAGAAAGAACACACACTGAGTAAATGCTTGAAAAGAAGGCAAGAATTCTCTGTACAATGGTGTTTGGAATCACATCTTGGTTTTTACTGGTAGACTGATATACTGATATCATCAGTTAAAGCGTAGTTCACCTATGCCAAATCCTAACTCTGAAAACCATTCCCCTTTCATTGTGCACAGGTATTCAGGAATTAGGGTCTGTGCCAGTGGGATGTATAAAACTAAATGAGGAGAAATGACTTGATTATATACAAACAAATATGTGTTGCATGATTTTGGGAAAGCACCAAATTCTGTTTCAGACAAAATATTATGGAAAAGGAGAGATAATTTCTATCTCTTAAATGTACGCTTTAAATTCCACCTGTACCAACAAGGGGGCATATTCTGTTTAAACTATTTTCTTGTGAAGTGTTAATAACGAGAGGATTCAGGCTTTTCACATGTTAGCTTGCTTCCTGATTTTCAGCTGCTGCTTTTCAGAGAAATGTCAATAGAAAGCAATTTTGTGTTTTCTTGTTAGAATACTCTTTGAAAACCAAGACTTATTCCTGCTTTCTCTCTTCCCCTCACTCAGTTTGTCCTCTTTGGTACATGGTCTAGCAAAGCCACTGTTAAATCTAGGAAGGAAATAACATGAAGGCTTTTGATGCCTTGCTGAGGAACAGGATGAGATATGGTACATTTACTTTTCAAACTAAAAAGGGGCTGAAAAGTGAATATATCTTGTTGGAATTAGGTCATGTAAAATGAGATCTTTCATTAGGTATAGACATAGTACACTACAGTGCCTGCTCTCTGAAATTGCCAGAGTTAGGCATGTGAAGCATGGATGTGTGTGTATTTGTCTTGTACCACAGTGAGATGTTGGAGGACATTTATTTTCAGTACATTTGTTTTATCCATATTAAAAAGAAAGTCTGAAATGAACAGTTATTTTTTTCATTTGTATGTGGCAAATAAGACAAAAGTAATGATTAAAAATGTGGCATGCAACTATATTTGTTTTTTCTTTCTAAGGCTGCTCCACTTCACACGAAATAGCTTATTTTTTATATGTATTTATTATATTCTGACAATATTTACATTGTTAATTAGGGTAAAAAAGGTTCAAGGGCTACAGGAAAGTGGGTAAGACCATCATTTCCATGCCGCTTCCTTCATGTATCTGAGGTAAAGGGGGATATAGAGGGAGAAGTCCCACCCAGTTTCCACCCGTCCGAAGTCCCGAATGTGGGGCATGCTCTGAGATACTCGCTCAAGTGGTTTCGATAGTTCACCATTCATGGATCGCTACCAGTCTCACCACTCCAAGCACGATGTTGTCGACGAAGAATCCACTGATTAACACAGTCCCTTATAGAGTCTCCATTTGCCCACTATTTCGCTGCGGACAGATAGCTGAGGTTGATGATTGACTTGTTCTGTCTTTTCTTGGTTAGGACTCTGAGTCCGGCATCTCGACTGGGGAGATCCCCAAAGAAATTTTGAGGTATTTCCAGTCCAGATTCCTGCGTGTTCTAGCAAGCATAGGACCCGGCACAGTCCATCGCCCCATCAGCTGGTGGTTGCAGTTGCTGGGTCGGTTCTGTCTCCATCCATGTCTTCCACTGGAACCAATGGGTGTTGCGGTCCAGCCTGGTTCTGTCCAGCACACACTCGGCCCTCACACAAACCGGTAGGAGCTGCAGCCCAGTCAGGGCGACCCACAGTAACCCCAACCAGGCCCACCCCCTACCCTGGCTTGCCAGTATGTATGGCAGACTAGTCAGGTCTGTCCCACATTCCCTTCTGCTCACATACATGTCAACGGGTATTGTGACTAATTCCATCCAACCATCTCATCCATCCAGCCCTCACGGATGCTGTTGGGTGTCTGTCTAGCCACTCCAGCCTCCGTCCTAGTTCCCGTGCCCTCCTGTGTGGGGGGATGGTGAACCAAGAGGGAGGAGCCCACTATTTCCCTCCCAGGTCGCTCCCGCTCCCAGATTATGCCCTCTCCAAGTGACCCTGTGGTTCAACTCGACATGACTAGCCCTCTGTACCAGCCTCCACCAGCCGATGCTACGACCAAGCCCCAACAACCCTCACCCACTGTAGATTGCACCAGTGGGTATGATCAGCCCAGCCTGATTTTCCCCTGATCTGGTCCACATGAGGTGCACAGGTGCTGTGTCCCTGCCTGGTCTGTTCTACCCCCTACCCAGCTCACGCTTCCCAGTGGGAGTAGCTGTTCAGCTAGGGAACCGCCCCTTATTCCCCTGTCAGCTCTGCCCCCTCCCTTCCTGATTCTCACGTGTGCTGGCTGGGTGCTGTGGTCGCATCCGGCTCAGGCTACCCCACCTTGGCATTCCGTGTTGTGTACTGCTTTTGTCGCGACCGAACCTGGTTTGACCCACACTCTGTTCTGGCTTTCGGATTTACCAGTGGATGATGTGAACAGATTCAGCCTGGTCTGCCCCAACCCATGCCGAATGCATGCCAGTGGGACACTTTCCATGACCTCTTGGCTGTAACCTTCCATTTTCTTGCGCTAACCTGCCGGGTCTGTGTCCTGCCAGAGGAGTTGCCTGGGCTCCTTCATCAGAACCCCTCCAAACACCAAGTTTTGTGCATACCAGTGGGTCCATGTGCCAGTTCGCCTCCTGTCCTAGCAGAAACAGTGGCCTTTCCTAACTGGCCTTCAACCCATTCTGGTTCTTGCTGTAAGATGTTTCAGCCCAGCCATGGCTGGTCCACACCCCCATACAGCTCGTATATGATTCAGTTGTGGTTGAGACCTAGCCTAGTCTGTCCCACGCCTACCCTGGTCCTCCAGAGCACCAGAAGGTGTTACAGTCTGGCCTGGCCTGGTGAGTCTTATTCCAGTCCACACTTGTGTCAAGGGAGAGAATAACTGTATCCTGACCCGACCGCAACCCCATCCACCTGTCGCGACCCCGGCCTTAGACACCGTGACTCAGATCTGTGGTTCATGTAGACCAGTTGGTGCCAAAACCTAGCTGGGCATGTCCTGAGCTCCACCCTGTTTTCCAATCATGCTTGTGGGCTAAGGTTTGCTCAGTCCAAACCTTCAGTTCACAGTCCCACGCTTGCATTAAGGTTTCACATCCCTGTTCCTGGGAATCACCAGTAATTCATGTCTCACCTACACTAAAGCTGGCCTTATTTATGGGTGTCCCTAAACAGCTATTTCATATCATAAAAACCCCAGAGCTCGCTGCTGGGTGGCCAGCAGGCAGAGCTTGGCACCATTTGGTGCACTGGCTGCCCAAAGCTGAGGACTCTGTCCCCGCCTTGCGGCAGGGGTTTTGGTCGAGGCCCTGGCAGGGTTTCATCCTGCAGGGGGGCCCCCCACAAGTGCTGCCTTGAGGAGGAGTTAAGCCTGCCTCTTGCCCTGAGACTGGAACCCACCCAACAGGGCGGAGCTAGAATTTTACCTCAGCTCCCAGGCATCTCTCATGGCTACCCACCCATGAGGGGCTTCAGTTGCTCCTGGACCAGGAGAAACTGAGGACTCTGCCCCCGCCTTGTGACAGGGGGGTTTGGCCGAGTCCCCAGCGGGGTTCCATCCATCAGGGGCGCCCCCCACAAGTGCCCGAAATAGCTTATAATATAGTTGGTATTATAATATAGTTGGTATTCTATAGTTACATGGTTTAGAGTCTAAATCTGCTAAAGAAGGGGAAATGAACAGAGGTGGAAAAATGTGAGCAGAGACTCACATTTGTAGAGACTGGCATTTATCAGGACTTCCTGCATTGAAGCTGCCAGAATTCAACCCAGATATGAATATATATATCTATACACACACACATACACACACACGTTATATGAACATGTATAGATTATTGATTTAATCAGGACGCTCAAGAGGAGAATCTAGCGATGTGCTGGATGTAGAAATATATCTGATATACTCAGGATTGTTAAGTATTTTGCTATATTTCTTGACTCCATTTTCCTGAGTCATCTTCATTCAAAGTAGGACATCCTGATATGTAGATAAAAATGACCACTAGCATCTTTAGACATATGCTATTCTTTTCTTTTAAAGATTTATTTATTTGAAAAGCAGGACTACAGAGAAAGGGGGAGGACATAAAAAAAGATAGACTCTTCTGTCGGCTTGATTCACTAGGAAAATGGCTGCAATGGCTTGGGCTGGGCCAGGTTGAAGCCAAGAACCCAGAATTTCTGTGTCTCCTATGTGGGTACAGGGGCCCGCATACTTGGGCTATGTTTTTATGCTTTTTCATGCATATTAGCATGGAGCTGGATCACAAGTTGAGCAGCTGGGACACACACCAGTAGCCTCATGGGATGCTGGCAGCACAGGTGGAGGCTTAACTTTCTATACCACAACTTTGTTCCCAACGTACATCCTTTTTTTCTTCTTCTTCTTTTAACGATTTATTTATTTTTATTGGACAGTCAGATTTATAGAGAGAAGGAGAGACAGAAAATTTTCCATCTGCTCCTTCACTCCCCAAGTAGCTGTGATGACCAGGACTGTACCAATCTGAAGCCAGGAGCCAGGAGTTTCTTCTGGATTTCCCAGGAGGGAGCAGGGTCCCAAAGCTTTGGGTCATCCTCTGCTGCTTTCCCAGGCCACAAGTAGGGAGCTGAATGGGAAGTGGAACAGCCAGGATTAGAACCAGTGCCAGATGGTTTAAACCTCTAACCATCAGAAAAGGATGACACAAGCAAGTTTATCATTGTTTTCCTGGGCTCTGCCTCTCTAAAAATTCTTTGATATATTGCTTTAAGCAGGCGTGTGTGTGTTCATCTGTGAAATCAATAGTTCTTTATGGTCAGAATAGAAATGCCAAAGTAGGGTAACATTTGTATCTTCTGGTTATTGATAAACATTAGTTGTTTTATATAATTTAAGTATTTGAGTGTATTTAGGGTTGTGATCTAGCGTTTTTGTTATAGGTTCTGTATAGAAATCCTACTCCTTTAATCATCATCAAAGTTTTAATATAGCTAAGTATAAATGTAATGTTAATTACTTCCTCTACTGGGCTTTGTTTGTATCTCTAATGTTAGTGTCCTCCCAGTACTAGTGATTACACTTGATCTTAACCAAAAGCCTAATAGCAGTCAGATGACACCACATCTACATCTGAGTGCCAGGAAGAGGAATGGGCTGGGATCAGCACCTGTTCTAGGGTGAGGAAGCTAATGCAGAACTCTTTGATTCTGCTCTTCAGTTTTTTTTATTCAGGCTGTTTGTTTTAAGCCATATTCTTTCTGAAGGGCTTGGTCAGGAGCCAGGAAGGAACCAGGAGGTTTTTCTGCACCTACCATGTAAGTGGCCTGGGACCCAAGCACTTCGTGCATCTTCTGCTGCTTTTTCCAGACCATTATCAGAGAGCTAATGGATCGTGGGCTCCCATGTGGCAATGCAGCATTGTAGGTGGCAACTTTACCTGCTTTTGCACAACTCTGGCTCATTTATTTAATTTTATAGATTTTTTTTGTTCATATGAAATGAGTGCATTTTTTTTATTTTTCATAATACATATTTAGAAGCATAGGGGAACCTCCTTTCCCTCCTCCATACAGTTATTATTATTATTTTCCCCAAGTTATTACAAAAACATAATTGTTCACTTCACTGTTACAAGCTTGACTTACTGATATTTAATGTATCTACTTTCATTGTTCAGCCTCTACACTCAACTAAAAATCTAGAAGATTTGACTTATTGATTGTTTATGTGCAGAGTGTGGTGGAATTCTGATAAATATTCAGAAATTACCTGTGTACTTGTTAGGATGAGGTAAAAAAAAACACTAAAATTTATGAAATGTCATTAAAAGCAGACAAGCTCAGACACTGAAATAACAATTTTATGGCAAAGTTATTTATTTGAGGTTCTTCCCTTATTCATCAAACCAAAAAGAAAAATATCCTTTCACTTTTCTGATGTAGATGATAATTTCTGACAGCAACAAACAAGTACAAGATGTAAGATTTTTATAACGCAGAGACATAATTTGGTTCAGCTGAAACAAAAATCAGGTGTTTTATCTTTGGCAGAGTAGGAAACTAATGTGACCAGTTTCATAAAGAAGATTTTGGATGTCCTTAAAATATATGCTTACCATTTAGTAGAAGCATATATTATAATGGCTAACTTTTAATTTCCAAGCTGAGACAGCCTAGATATTTCTTATGTGTAGAAGAGTCATAATTATGTCCAAATAGCCCCTTCCAGCTCATAGAATAAATCATGAGTACTTGGAAATTAGGCCCGATGCCATGTTATGTATCAATCTCATGATTTTATCATTAAAATTTACTGTGTTTGTGTAGCTTGCTGGAAAGTAGAAATAGTGAAATTGTATCATCAAGAAGTATGCACATATTCACAAAGTGCATGAAGAATCTCACCTCAATGTGGGTCATTGAAGTCTTAGCCCTGTGCAGGCTAAATCTGTACATAAGAAAGTTTAGTATTACACCATATGTAGTAATGAAAGGGCAAACTTAAGTGGTTATATTAGAAAGTTAGGGATATATTTTTAGTTGCTGCTAACCTGAAGGTTGTATTTTCGTTGTTAATATGCAGATTCTCATTTTTTTGTCAACCCACTGTGTTTGTACTTCATGGAAGCTCCTTTTGTCTTTTTCTTGCATAGCTGAAGTAGGTTGTATCTTCATGTTGCAGCATTTTTTTTAGTAGAAACTATTTTTCCCCTCCTTCTTGATACCAATAGGGAAGTGATGTATTTACTACTCCAAATGATGATTCTGTTTGTTTCATTTGCCAATGTGGAAAACGTTTACATCTTCATACTGGAAAGCATTGGTTTGCTTAGATGGTGTAAATTTCCTTTAAAGAAATTAAAGATTTATTTTCATTGCATGGGAGACAAAGCAAGAGAGTGAGAATCTTCCATTAACTGGGGTTTACCCACTCCTTTCCCCACAACCCTCCCATCCTGGCAAATGTCCTCAACAGCTAGAGTTTGCCCCAGCCACACCAGGAATCCAGTATTCCATCCAGGTCTCCCATGTAGGCGGTAGGATCCCAATTACTTGAGCCCTTGCTGTTTTCTCCCAGAAATAAAATACGGATTGCCCCAGACAGTTACATGAGTCCCAAGTGAAGTCTTAAGCTATGCACCAAATGCTTATTCCCCTGGCCAGTATAACTTCTGTGGAGGAGTCAGCCCGAGACACTCAGCTGCTTTGCATCTTCAGAATCTCTAGATGTTCTGTGATTTGCACTTCGACAGATTTTTAAACTTCCTAACTTTGATCAGCATCGCTTCAGAAATGCTGTTGTTATATTTTCTGTATACCAAAAAAAAAAAAAAGAGAGAAATAAATTGTGATGCTTTATGATCCAGAGCTGATAAAAGCCCTTTGAAATGAAAGACATTTCCCCTTGATTTGCCATTCTCCCCAGAAAGCTTGCAGAAATGTACCAATTATTTCTGACTGGTGACAAGGGAATTCTGAGCAGCTTTCTATTAACATGTTTTTGGTCATTTGTCAGCTATTTTGTATGGTCTGCTAACTGGAAGCACTAATTAACAAAACTCTGAAGAAGGTTAAAAAAAAAGGAATCACCTAAATTCAATCAAGCTAATAAAACAGCATAGGCACCTGAGAAACAGTGTATTTTCTTTTTCATGTAGATGTACAGTCATATTTAGGTTCCTTCACCTTATGTGTTCTTGCCTGTCTACATTTGCTGGAGAGTGAATAAATGAATCTAAGAAAAAATCAATGAAATACATTTAGCTTTTTTATTTTAATGCTTAAACTATGGAATTTCACCTATTCAGTCTTATAGCGCATTGACTTTTTGCTTGCAATCTCATCTTCTTTTCTTTCACCTGGTCTTTTCAACTTCTCTGGTATTGGCCCCAAATCACTTATTTGAGAACTGTCTTTATTCTAAAGTTTTAAAATGAATTATTTGTGAAGAAAAGAGAGAGGGGGAAGGAAGAAGAGAGGGGGAAGGAAGAAGAGAGGGGGAGAAGAAGGAGCAATAGAGGGAGAAGGCTGGGGGGAAAAGTAAAGATAGCACTCTCATCCACTAAATCACATTCCAAATACTCCGAATGGCCCAAGTGTGGAAGCTGGAAGTGTGGATTTCAATCCAGATTTCCGACAAGGGTGGCAGGAGCCCAAATATTTAAGCCTTCCCAGGGACACATTAACAGGGCTTTGGTATCATAAGCAGAGCCAGGTACTCCGGTATGGAATGCCGACAGCTTAACCTGTAGGCCAAATGTCCACCAAATGCATGGTGTAATTTCAATGGTTAAACTTTGGCATGGAGAACACGTTTATGCTTTGCGTTACCATCCCTGAAATGTGCTTCTCAGAGTTTGTATGTTTGTGTGTGTGTGTGTGTGTGTGATGCATACATTGTGTACATGTGTCTGTGACAAAGAATTATTTATCCACAGGTATTTATATCGCCAGATCAAAGTTTATTAGTGAGCAATATCCTTGAGTTAAACACTTCTACAGGATTTTTCAGACAGACATTTCGCTATCTACAGTGAATTCTAGCAGAATTCTAGGAAGTTATAACTGCCTCCTCAATCTGTTATCTTATTATGGCTCCAATACTAGAATCCCCTTCTTAGCTGGACCTTGTTCTTTGTCAGAACAAACTGTGATGCAGTGTTCAATTGACCCCATCGTCACATTAATGATTCACTTGTAGTGCTATGGTGCAGTGTGTGATATTTATAAAGGCTAATTTAAAACTAGAGTGAGTGATACAGGTTAAGTTTTGGTGACATTAATCTTGGCTTTTACATCTGTTCAGGGCTAAAATATTGATATGTTGGAAGAAAACCAAGTACATGTTTGCTTCTAGTCTCTTTCATGTGTGGACTGAAGCTTGACCCACTGGATACAAGGACAGATAGGGTTTTGTGGCCTCAGCCTCGAAGAATGAAGAACTTATTTCCCAAAATTGTTATCTGTGTAGAAGAGATGCATTGGAGAGCTTCAGGGACAATAGGTAACTGATTAAGGATCACAGACTTCGAATCTTATCTTTTCTATCAGAGATATGGCTAACATTTGAGTCTTCTGAGTCCAGAAATACCTCATTTATCTTGGTATAAAAAGAGTGTTTAAGGATAATTTAAATGTATCTAGTCAGTATTCCTGTGTAATTTCTACATTTTGGCATCTTTCTCCATTTGAACTCTTACATTTTGTTCACAGTTTACTTATAAACTTCTTTGTAGTATAGCTTTTAATGAGTTTTGGTTTGGGGTGTAGTATGAGATGTGCTTTGTCAATCTTTTACTCATGCTTGCTTTGAAATGTTGAGGATATTCTTTCTATAGCCTTTAGGAATTCTTGGGCTCCTTCTGAGAATTTTTTGATTTCATGAACAATGTAGCAAATTATACTTTCCCATTTTGATTGATCCTAACAGCTGAACTTGTGGTTTTTCTGAAAGAAGTTAGAATTTCATTGGTTATATCTGTTAACTGACTCAACATAAAATGTTCTTTAACATTTCTCTTAATTATTTAATTTATAGTAATGATTTGAATATGTATAAAAATCTCATTAGATTATGTTGGAAAAAGATATTTTTATCAAAGGCAACTACTTGTTAGTAGCTTTCCTGTAATAATGTTTTTTGGTTAAGAGGAGCCTCACTAACTGGTTTAACCTCATGAACAGGTGAAAAGGAGAGAAAGATCGCAACTGGGTAGAAATTCCTAGTACTTTTTTCTTTTATTGTTTTGTAAGTATCTCAGGAAAAACAATTTCATTCATTGGATTGTACAGGTTCTGACTGTCTGGAGGAGGGAAAGAATGCTGAAGGTGGGTAAGAAAAGTAATAATTCAGAGGGCCAGCAGAAAGCAGTAATGAAGGATGTTGTATTAATCAGCTTTCATTATTATAACAGAATATCTGAGATGCTAACTTTATAAAGCTAATAGGCTTAGTTAGCGCGTAGTTTGCATACTAAAAGCCTAAATTGCATGACGCAGTCTCTTGCAAGGATTACGTTTAACTTGGGTCACCCAGGGCCGATGGAAATGTCACCAGGGTATGTAGAAAGAAGGAATCATATTGCCAATAGTAAGTCAGTGGGAGTGTGGATGGAGTCAGGCTCTAACTTTTACAACAATCTCAAGAATTAACCAGAGTCTCATGGAAAATTTTTTGGGGTATGTTCCCAGTTGACCTCAGGGTTCAGGAGGCCCTAACCTCCCCAAGTCCATGCAATGTCCAGGTACTGCCACCCTGGGAACCAATCCTCTAACACATGAGTCTTCGATTATTACTGACAGCATATCCAAACCATAGCAGATGTTGAGATCCAAGACTGTACATGCCTCTTTGGGTGCTCTGAAAACATGTCCAAACATCTAGACAGTTGCTAAATACACAGCTGGATAGTGATCAATGGGTGATTGATTAATGTCCCTAAAAATCCTCTTTTGTTACCTATGTGATAGCTGAACTTAAACTGGAAGAAGCCAATGATAAAATGTCACTAGGTCCAAATTTGTTTAATTTTATAGTTTTCTTCATTCTTAATTTCTAAAACAAGTTTTAAATTTATCTCCTAAAGAAAATATATTTTTGTTTTTCTGAAGAATTTGCAACAATGGCTTTTAAGTTTTTTTTTCCTGTAATTTCCACATTCTCAGTCCATGTAATATTCACCATAGTTGTAGCGGGGAAGGTATGTAAGACCTGCCTTTGATCATACTGATTAAAGTTATGGTAGTTTCAGCTTTGTTTTCCATAATCACTACTAGGTGTTATTATCTTTGAGTCTATGTACCATAGCACAAATATCAAAGATATTTGAAGTCCAAATTTTTACACATTTTAGGTCATGTTTCGTGGAAACATGACTACAAAATTACAATTTGTATATTATCGACTAGGTTGTTATATAAAAATGAGTTTGTACCCAGATTGAAAAATACAATCTTCAGAACTTGAAAGAGAAGTGTAATTTTAGATTTTGATTAACATTCAATTGAATGGGCATGGATTGTCGTTCCAGACTAATCGGCATCTAAAACTTAACCTCCAGTGAGAGTCCATCTTGTGTAAAACCCCTGCAACTGCTTGACACATCCTCGTTGGCCCTACCTGAGTGAGACTGAATGTCAGAATTCACCCTGAAACTATTTTCTTTTCACCCACCAAGTTTTAGCAAGTAATTTGCTGTAATTGTGCACAATTACTCTCAGGCTACTTAAGGGATAGTCTTTCTTTCTCATTCCTGTAAGCATTTCTCATTTGTATCAGCAAAAAGTTCCTGCCTTACTGAGCAGATTTTAGGCTGAGCTAAATCTCAAGGAGAAACACAATAAAGTACATTACATTGAGACAATGTTGGCAGCAGAGTGAGAATGGGGACACTGAGCTCACTGCCTACAAATACCACCTTTGTGGTGGATGTACTCATTACTTGATCTGATCATTCTCTATTACACATGCATATTGAAATATCCTGGAATCTTATAAAAATGTACAGTCATTGAATGTATGTATGCATGTGTATGTATCTATTTATATAATTTAAAAAGAGTTTTAATAATTAAAGGATCAAAACAAGGAAAACCCCTTGGCAAAGTATTTCATTATTTATATAATATTGTAAAATGAAAAGCAGTGTTAATTAAGTTAGCATATTACATCTTCTAACTACTTTTATATTATATGTATTGCTAGCTTCTTTTAAATTTGGATGTGTATTTTTGTT